TTGGAGAAGGAAATGGCAACCCACTCCAGTGTTCTTGCCTGGAGAATCCCAGGGATGGGGGAGCCTGGTGGGCTGCCGTCTATGGGGTCGCACAGTCAGACATGACTGCAGCAGTAGCACCTGTATAGAAGTTCCACTGTTTTGCTAAGCATGCTATCAGTAAAGGAAAACTGCAGAAAGTGAAAAGCGAAATACCTGTTTAGGGTCAGGAGATGGGATGTCTAGTTCTTCATGACAACCATAGAAAAAAAAAAGTATTAGTTACTATTGAAGATTATGTCAAACTGAACAGTATAAGAAACTAAAAGGATACTGTATCAGTAGAAATACCAGGTCTGACATGCACAAAGCAAAGAAACCAACGATGCCAGATACTGAATTTATATCGCACTGTCTTTTGAACAGCCAGCAGGAACAAACTGCTGAATGCAGATACCATGCAGTGCAGTTATGATTGAACTGGAACCACCCCAACCTCATTCTGTAATGATACTCTGAGAAACTTACTTACACACAGACCTCTAAAATTTTTTAACATGTAATTTTTTCCTATTTGTCATTCCAGCAAGGCAACTACATTAACTCTTATCTTAAACTATAAACTTAGTATTACCTTTTTACCCTCTCTATACCTATAAAACTTACATAGGAAACTATCCAATCATACTTGATATTTACATGCTACTTTAATAAAAGGTGCAAGGGACCAGGGCATTTCCATGTCCTACACATGCTGTCTTCATTTTTTTCCAAATCTGTAAGTACAAATATTGCAGCAAATTTTTGGCCAAAATCTTGATAATTGTTTTACACCTAAATAACTAGCAGTCACAATAGTAATGGAATGCCATACTCAAAATTTACATTGTTTTCAGAACTTCTGAATCCTATTGGAATAGAAATTAAATATTCTACTTACCTCTAAAAGCTTAAAGTTCAAATAATATTAATTCCTGCAGATACCAAATAAAAGATTATGGGTTACTTACTCATGATTAAAAAACAAAAACTTAAATATATGCTTACTTAAATATTTTGTTATACTCAGCTCTATCAGAATTAAGTTTTAATTCATATCTGTATCATTCAGCAGTTGAACATTAAATTCATCATCTGAACTGGAATGGTAACCCCCCCCAAATTCTAGTCACTAACTAAAAACTTACCCAAGTTATCACACCCTAAAACTTGACAGAGATCATTGGGATATGCCAATACCTAAGATAAAAAAAAATTGTTAGGTTTTTCATAGTTTAATTGGCAGCTCTGTCTTGTAGTTCTTTCCCACAGATCTAACAGGTAGTTCTATGAGTAAAGGAAACTACATGGTTACTCTATGAGGCGTTTCCAACGACGTAGGTTTACAGAAAAAGCCCCATCGGGATAGACCTCAACTGTTGCTTAATCATTGTTTAAATTAAAGAAATAATACCATGAATTAATCACATGATATGTAGTTTTAAATCAATGCTTAGGGAAGATAGTATAAAGTATCAAGTAACTATTACAGCTGAACCAAAAAATTGCATATGTAAATTTAAGCTTGATTATTAAGAACTTTATTACTACAATGTGTTTAACCTTGCAGTGCCCACATTACTGCAGAACTATTTAAATGAATTTTTGGCTTTAAATTGAGAACTATAATATAAAATATTCTCATTGATAACAATTATGAAAATACAGAATGTTAATATGTCTGATGTTCTGACCATTTGGGGATCACTGAGGATCACTTGGCATTTGTGTATCATTCAGATTTATGAAATTATATGTCCTGTGTAGTCATTTCTAGCATTGCACTATTAAATTTTCTACTTCATTTTAGTATATGCATCCCTTAATTGTGGGACTTCCCTGGTGGTTTACTGGTTAAGACTCAGCACTTCCACTGCAGGGGGTGTGGGTTCTATGTTCAACATCACTATTAGAGAAATGCAAATCAAAACTGTAAGCAGGTACCATCTCACATTGGTCAGAATGGCCATCATTTAAGTCTACAAATAAATGCCAGAGAGTGTGTTGGAGAAAAAAAAAGGAACCTTCTCCTATATTGTTGGTGAGAATGTAAATTGGTACTGCCACTACAGAAAACAGTAGAGTTACCATATGATGAGCAATCCCACGCAAAGAAAAATATGGTTAGAAAGGATACAGGCATCTGTGTTCACTACAGCACTGTTCCAAGATACGGAACCAACATAAATGTCCAGAGATGAACTGATAAAAGATGTGTGGGAGGGGTGTGTATATTACTCAGCCATTAATATGAAAATGATGCCATTTGCAGCAACATGGATGGACCTAGTGATATACAAAGCAAACTAAGTCAGAAACAGGTATCATTTATATGTGGAATCAGATATGGACTTGTGGTTGGACAGGAGATGGGGGTGTGGGGGAGCCATGGACTGGGAACTTGGGAATTAGTAGATACAAATTCATAAGATAAACAAGTGCTTACTATATATAGCACAGGGAATTAATATTCTGTAATAGATCATAAAAATAAATAAAAAGAAAAAGAAAAATCATATAACTGAGTCACTTTGTTGTACAGCAGAAATTAGCACTGTAAATCAACTATACTTCAATAAAATTTTTTAAAATAAATTATATAGAGGGTGTTAGGAGATTAAAAATACATATGCTTCAAGAGGGGATAGCCAAGATTCTGATAGCTTATAGTTCTAGGACCCTTTCCTGCAAGCAAAGTAAAGCCGGCACATTGTCACTATAAAACATGCCAATCCCGAGATTCATTTTCTGAAATTACATAATGAATAGAAATTTAAGTTGGCAAAAATGCCTTTCAAAAATAAACCTCTGGAGAAATTCTGACAATGTATCATATTTACACAAATCTGAACCAAACTCACCTAAAGCATCAGACATACCTTTGGAAAATCCAGACACTGTATTCCGAAGATAAAAGCCTAAAAAAAGGAGCCCATCTTTGTTTGTTTTATGTCAACATTAAAACTGAGTACTAGGATCAATACAGCTGGTAATTTAAAAGCTTATTTAACTTTATAGCCCTGGAAGCAATCTTTATGCTCATCAATACACACCCATTTTATGGATCATGTTCCTTCTTATCTGTATCAAAACTCATACTGAACAATGAGTTGTGGGTTGCAAAAGAGGACTTACTTTCGCACTTGTCTGTAAGTCTTTGTCCACAAATTAAACAAAAACAAACACAAGTGCTACTTAGCTTTGTTTTTTGTGGGATAGGGGATCTACATTCATAACTGAAATACTTAATTTTAGACAATAGCAAAAAAAACCACAACCTTTTTCCTCTCCGAGTTTACAGATCTTTTGGAGTATGAACACTGACCCTGAATTAAGAATCCCTACTCTAAAACATCTGGATTTTAAGAAAAACAATCCATAGAAGGTAGTCACACACCTTCACAGGGTGAGAGAAAGCAGGTATTAAGAATCAGAGCGGGGGCTTCCGTGGCGGCCCAGGGGTAAAGAATCTGCCTGCCAAGACGAGACAGGGGAGACAGGGGTTCAACCCCTAATCCGGGAAGACCCAACACGCTGCACCTAAGCCCCTGTGCCACAACTATCAAGCCTGTGCTCTGGAGTCTGGGAGCCACAACTGTGTTGAGCCTGTGTGCTGCCACTACAGAACCCCGCACGCTCTAGAGCCAGTACTCCACCGCAAGAGAAGCCACGACAGTGAGAAGCCCACACACCGAAACTAGAGAGTGGCCCCAGCTTGCCACAGCTAGAGAAAAGTCCGCATTGCAATAAAGACCCAGCAGAGCCAAATAATTTAAAAGAGAGCAGAAACACCCTTGGTACCCTCTGAAATATTCCATAAAGTTACAAATACATGGGTTTTGTATGACTCAAAGTAATTCTAATGCACATTAATGTTTGAAAACTCCCTACAACAACAATTTTTGCAGGTTTCTTGACATCTATGATAACTCCATCTATGATAATTCCATACATCCCTAATAATGAAAGGGAATTCTAAAGTGTTCTTGCTAGCCTTATAGAATTTCACACCACTTTAGTTTCTATTGTCTCCACTTTAATATAAATTAATAGATGTGTTAACTGTGAAAATTAAGGGGCTGTTGGGACTTCCCTGGCGGTCCAGTGGTTAATAAGACTGAACTTTCACTGCAGGGGGCAGGGGTCTGATCCCTGGTCAGGGAACTAGGATCTTCCACAGGACCCAGGCATGGCCAAAAAAATAAAGAGCTGTCTTCCACTGGGAATCGGATTCTACCGTTTGCCAAGACATGTTGATCAAAGACAATAAAAACTCAGCTTTCAAACCTTCATAGAAAAGAGGACCAGGTGCAGTCCTTAGCACATTGTTGTTGCTGCGTGCCATTTCCCCCCTCCCCCCACCCCGTTACCAGGCAACGGTTGGGGGGGCAACCATTAGTGGTCCTGCTCAGCCATTGGTGGGCTCCATAGTGGGCCCCTCCCCCAAGCGACCCAAAGTCGGCGAGCAACCCTTAGTGGGCCCCTTCAGCCAAAGGTTGGCGGAGGAGTGGATCTCAGGCGTGTAAGAGACGGATTCTGGCCTTCTCCCCGCCTCCCCCGCCCTCCAGCGTTCCTTCCAGTGCACCGGGCCTCAGGCCAGTGGGTAGGCTGGGGGCCCTAGGGAACAGGTGGGGGCAGTATCCTGCAGGGCTCCAGCGCCCTCACCAAGGTCACCCACTGGTCAGCTGAGGCCTTGAGGCAACGGTGAACCTCTCCTCCAATCCCTGCCTCTGTGACCTAATGGCAGCGGCAGTCCCCCTGGGTCACCGTCTGTGGGACCTGGCCTCTGCTCTTTGGTTGTGCTATTGTTTGGCCTCACTGTACCTGGCTTCCTAGGTGGCGCTAGTGGTAAAGAACCCGCCTGCCAATGGAAGAGACGAGTTCAATCCCCGGGTTGAGAAGATCCCCTTGGGAAGGAAGTGGCAACCCACTCCAGTATTCTTGCCTGGAGCATCCCATGGACAGAGGAGCCTGGCGGGCTACAGTACCTACATTTGCAAAGAATCCGACGCGACTGAAGCGACTTAGCACAGCACAGTGCGTGGGGCACACGGACTTGTGTTTTAGTAACAAAATCACTGTTAATCAAATATTATTGCAATTACTCAAACAACTGCTGTTGTGAAAAGATGACATCAAGACAATGGGACTTATAAATGGAAACATAATACTACGTTAAAGGTAGCTTTTATTTATTGCTTTATAGGGAATGGCACGGCAAGAGCGCACTCACATTTCCAAAAGATCTCCACACCAGGCTTTTCGGAAAGCAAACGGATGCCTTCAGGCAACACAAAGCGGACCCAAAAGCTCACCCTGGTTTTCTCCTGTCCCCACCCACCTCTCTAAGATAAAGAGCCGGGAAAGTAGTTGCCAAACGGCGGCGGTAGAAGAAGGGGACGCTGCAACTGCCCTTAAAGCAGCGTCTCCCGCGGGGAGCCGGGCACCGGGGCGCAGGCGATCCCGACGGGGCGGCCGTCTCACAGTGCAGTTCTCCAACCCCCAAGCGCGAAGCCCACGCACAGCCACAGCGCGGCGGCTCCACAGAGCCGGACCAGCGAGGAGCTCGAGGCCGCCCCCTAGCTGTTGTCAGCCCACGCAGGGGACCCCGCTCCGGCGCCGCTCCCTCCCTCCTGCACGCCGCATCACTTACCCAAGGCTGCCATGCCTCACTACAATAGGGTACTTTCTCCGAGCCCTCTTCCTCAGAATAGCAACAAACACAGAACCAAGGCTATGCCGCGAGGCAACGACGCCCTCGCCCGCTTTAACGCCTGCCTAGGGCTAACTGGTGACTCAGAGGGTAAAGCGTCTGCCCGCAATGCGGGAGACCCCGGTTCGATTCCTGGGTTGGGGAGATCCCCTGGAGAAGGGAATGGCAACTCACTCCAGTATTCTTTCCTGGAGAATCCCATGGACGTAGGAGCCTGGTAGGCTACGGTCCACGGGGTCGCAAAGGGTCGGACACGACTGAGCGACTTTTAAAAAAAAAAAAAAAACGCTTTCCTTTCGCAAGGGATTTTTCTCCCAATGATCCGTTGAAATAACCCGCAGGAATGCACTTCCCCCGCCCCGCGCCATCCCCTGGAGCACAGCCCTTGCTACCCCCAGCCCCCCAAACCTGAAACACCCGGAGCCGGCCTTCCACTCCTGTGTCTGTTACCTAGCCCAAGCTCTTTCTACTCTACTGCAGGACGGGCCAACAAATCAGGAGCCGAGTTGTTGGAAGGACGAACAACGATTTTAATCCTGCCCCGACACCGCCCCCAGGGCACGGCGGCTTTGGTAGCTCCGAGGAGCTTGAGGCAGGGCAGGGTGGGAAGGGGTGGTGGTCTCTTGCCATCCTCCACCCCCATCCTCAGGACTGCCTGGGGTTATTAAAGACTAAATTTGATTTTGTGTGTTGTTGGGGCTAGGGGAAGGGAAACGATGCCTTACCCGCAGTAAAAGGATGGAAGAGGTCCGATTGCAGAGGCACATGTGCAGTATGGGACCACAATGACATGGGCTTCGAATTGGCCGAAAAGACAAAGCTGCGTCTGAAGCCTACTTGAATAGCACCCAGAGTAGGTCCCACATTGTTGTTGTTCAGTCACTAGGCCGTGTCCAACTCTGCGACCCCATGGACTGCTGCACGCCTGGGCTTCCCTGTCCTTCACTGTCTCCCAGAGTTTGCTCAAACTCGTGTCCATTGAGTCAATAATGTCATCCCATCATCTTGTTCTCTGTCACCTTCTTCTCCTCCTGCCCTCAATCTTTCCCAGCATCAGGGTCTTTTCTAATGAGTCAGCTCTTCACATCAGGTAGCCAAATTATTGGAGTTTCAGCTTCAGCATCAGTCCTTCCAATGAATATTCAGGGTTGATTTC